TCTCTGTCATTGGCCACGGTCGATCGCGACTGGCTCGATGGTCGACCGCGATGCGGTTTTGAGCCTAGGCTTGGTTTTCTATTCTGTTTGGGTTTCTTGTTTATATAAATAGGAACACGATTTATTTAGGGTTTATTGGATCATATTGATCACTTTTAGGGTTGCTTGAAGGAGATTTTGAGCATAGAAAAGAAAGATCTTTCTGAGCAATTTGTTTGAGGGTTTAGTTTGTGAGATTTGAGAGATCTGTTTAAGAGGTTAGTTGAGTGATCTTGTAATCTCTATTTTGTACTCTCTTTCTCTATAGTAAAAACTCATCCCCTTCTTGCCCCGTGGACGTAGGCAATTTGTCGAACCACGTTAAACTTTTGTGTTTGAGTTTGTGTCGCTTTTCTAGATTGTTTTTGGCTTTCTCTCTCGGTTTTTGGTTTTGGCTTCCGCTGCGCACAACAAAATCCTCCAACTAAGACAATAAATCAGCGGTTGTCTTCTTTGTGAGAACTTCTTGTAAAACTTCATTTGACAAACATAACTGGATCGTTGTTAGAGCTCTATCATCTAACTTGTTCCAATCTTCCTCTGTCATTGTAGCCAATTTTTTTGACTTCCCGAACAAAGCCTTCTTTAATCTGCTCTGTGTCAATACGATAATCATCCTAACTTGCCAAAAACTAAAACTGATGTTACCGTCAAACTTCTCGATATCCCACTTCGTAGTGATTATCATCATCTTCTCATCTGATTGATAGCTGAAGGTTTGATACCAATTTGTTATGACAAATCCCTAAAATAAACTAATATCAATCACACAAAAGCACAAAAAATATTGAGAACACAAACACATAAAGATATATGTGATTCGACTTGTAGCCTAGCTTTACTAAATTATGAGGAATACAAAGTGAAATCTCTCAATCACTCAATCCCAAATAACAACCCTATATTCTCAATACAATCTTTCAAAGATGAACAAAAGAAAGCCTTCAATCACTAACCAAGAGTAGATAATTAAAACCCTTAATAAGATGGGGGTTTGGTACAGGTAATCCAAAAAGACGTTCTGCCTTTCTCTGCTATAACTCTCGGGTGGCTCTCAAATCATCACAAGGCTTATGCATATTATAAAGGCTAATCTTGCTAGTTGTTGTTAGCAAGGATATCCATAAAAGCTAGGATTCTCAATTCATCACAAATTCTATGGTATTGGTAGAGCACTTTTTCACTGATAAGTTGGTAGAGCACTTGCTTGTGATGGGCATGGGAGAGATCATGAATTCTGAAATCTCTTAACATGTGATGGGCATGGAAGAGGAGGTTATCTGCAATTTATCCTTCGCAAGATGTCAATCAAAGGGATGATAAATGCTAATAAAAGAATTGATAGATGACAAGGGCTATGAAACTATAGTTAGGGGAGGGGGTAATATGCAATACCCAAAAAAGTAAATGAGAACAATTTGAAGTCCTTTGTCTGCAAGTGCATTCGCATTACTTATTTGTAAAATACGTCTGGTTACAGGAAGTGGTTACTCCAATTTTGTTGCGTTCTTACATGCAAAGCACATTTCCATCTGCTGTGAAAGTCATTACATCCTTTGCTCCACTTCTTGTTGTGTTAACTTCTTCACTTCTTGCAAGCAGGTGAGGATTGAGTAATTTTCTTTTTTTAGTAACATTTTCCTTCTGTTGTCTAAGATAACTCAACATGTTCTTACATTATTACAATGTCTTCTCTGAGAATGTTGTGCGCCTCAGATCATCAATCGTCAATTCATATAATGGGTCTGAACTAGGCTCATCTTGGGGAATTGGAGGTGTATTTTCTGGAGATCTTCAATCAACAATACTCTATGTTCTCTTATTGCATTTTGCTGGTTTCTTTGTGGGGTAAGTGTTGCAGCGGGGGGCTTCACAGACACAGAAGATGTCATACAAGAGTGAAGAATAACAACACTAAATAAACACAGTGAAGACAAAGAGAATAGCACATAAGGAATTAACATGGTTTGATCAATATGACCTATGTTCATGGGCGAGATCAGCAGAGAACTTTACTAATCACAAAAGAAAAGATTACAAAGGAGATCACTCTTCTAACCAAAGAATCATACAAAGAAAGATCTCTCTCTCTCTCTCTCTCTCTCTCTCTCTCTCTCTCTCTCTCTCTCTTCTCTAATTCTTGCTTGTTGTCTGCTTTTGAGCTCTCTCCCACCCCCTTTTATAACCTTGTAATACTAATAAAAAATTAAAAATTGGTTGGTGTAATAGTGTAGGGGGTTTGGTGGAACAGTAAAATTAGGTTCACAGTCACATAACAAATCTTTACCTTGACTTGGAATATGAAGATTTTCTCTTTACTCTTGCTATCTCGCCAGAAGCCCCTTATGGGCTTAACCTCCGCTTTGTTGAACTCCAAGCAATTCGAGACAATGCTGGAACTTGTGCAAATGTACAAGCTTCGTCATCATATCTACTGGATTATCTATAGTACTAATTTTTTTAATCTTGATAACTTTAATTTCTCTAATAAAATAATACCTGATATCTATATGTTTGATTCTTTCATGATAAATCTGATACTTCGTCAAATGTATAGCACTCTAGCACTATAGTATTTCCTGCTACAGTGCCCCTTTTTATTCGTATTGATTCTTGTAACATCGATTTTTAATCTTGTACGACGTTGTCTTCTATCTTGCAAACTTGCTCCCGGATCCATCATCATAGCTCTGATACCACTTGTTATGGAATTTCAGTCTCCCCGCCTACTATGATTTACGCAACTCGGAAGCCAACCCAGAATTAATAAGATATAAAATAACTACAATTAAGATGAAAGAATACCGAGATTTACGTGGTCCAATCGACTAACTTCGACCTACGTCCACGGGCAATAATGCGAGAAATCCACTATGTATCAGGGAGAACTACAAAGATGAACCATTTAACTCTCGTCTCTCAATCTCTCAACCTCACGTACATAATCAACTATCATATTCTCTCCAAAGTTATCTCCTTACAATCTTTTGAACGAACAAAGATTGCGAAACTCTCTCCCAATGATGTAATTTTTTGCAAGGACAAAGACTACGAAACCCTCGTCTCTCGCACAATATTCTTGAATCAGGCTACACCCTCTGCTAACCCTAGATTACAAGAATATTGGCTCTCTCATCTCCTTGGTTTTTCCTCCAACAATAGAAGAATATATATAGCGAAATCAAAACTCTATCTCTAACCTAACTTCCTAATTAGAATATGATTCAAACTCCTAATCATGATAAAACTAACTCAATCTCCTAATCATAGTAGATCTCTAATCCTATCTAATTCTCATGAAGTTATACAAAAAATCAAAGACACAATCCCAACAAATGATACACCTCAAATTTCTCTCAAAGACATCCCTTAACCCTCATCTCACATGCATTTCTAGAACTCAACAAGGATGGAGAAATCCTAATTCTGTTGGAATTAGTTTCCCATACTTGAAAACCGGCCTTCAAAATATTACAAATCGAGCAACATTTCGACGCATTAGAGATATGCAATGCAGGCTAAAACTACTGCCCATGTTTGCTCACGGTTATTAATTGGTCCATTAATGGTTCCTTATCAAATTTTATGCTCGCAGGTCGGCACGCAAAATTCTTCCTTGGGTGTTGTTTTAGCGACTGCACAATTTTTCATCCTCGTCGGCCGCATTGCCCCCTGCATTATCTGCGGTTATCATGAATATTATCGGCAGCACTTTGGGCTTTATATGGGGATATGTTGATCCCTCTGATACAAAAGAATGCTCCTGAATCTAATTTGGATTGATCCATGTCCAAGAGCTTGTTTACGTATTTTTTGCCTTTGGTCGGCATTGATTATTGTACTTATTTGTTTTGAATCCCATTTGTTCATTGTAAACACCACCGTTTCAGTCTTTCAGAAAAATTGCAGGTTATAGCATTTCATTTATGTAATCAAGAAGACACCTACGATCTTTCATTTATGCAAATTGTAATCAAAGGTATGGCCAATTTATGGGTAAATTGTAGATGATAACTCTCATCTATTCAGTAACACTTGTATCCCTCAACTTGTTTATTGAGTTATTAAATTGTTTATACACCTCTACTTGTATATATATTTTGGTTTAATTACAGGTGTCCCAACTCAACATTGGAGATGAGACTAATCCTACTCGGGGCTGGTGGCTACCGGCTGCAATAGGCCCGACTTGGGGACCAGCTTGCCTATCACTGGGCCAACAACTTGTTGTACCTCTACTTGTTTATTAAGTGATTGGCTTTTGAGCTATGTTGTTGGGCACCCCCCACCCCCACCCCCACCCCCACCCCCACCCCCCAACCCCAGCCACCACCAAAAAAAAAAAACTAATTGAGCGGTGATAGGTAAATAGGTTGAGAGGCGATAAGTTCAGTTAAAGACCTTGTTCAGGGGTCTATTTGTTATTTTCCCTTAGTTAACTGTAGTGATGACTTTAAGTCAATGTACATTTCTGAACCATGTCAACATCCACCCGTTATTATTTACATGGTTCTCCAGACGGCTAAACTTTATCAATAAAAATCTCATTACTTCTTATTGTACATTATCAAATTTCTTTATTTACATATTTTTCCTGATAAACCTTTACACATAAATTTGTGGAATAACATTAAGCCTACTTCCTAAGTTTTACTACTTATGAACTTTTCATAAAAAGTAATAAAAAATAAAAATAAATTTATATATTTAAATGGATTAGTAACTTTAGCAATGCCTAGGCTAGTGATAAGGGAAGAATATCCAAAGGATATCATATGTGCAATAATAGAAATTACACATGCCAATATGCAAATAAATCATTACATACCTTAATAGGCAACTTTACTCTCATTTCTCAAAAGTCCAAACCAAAGAAAAAAAAAATGAAGCATTCAGTTTCCGTCTTCTCCTTGCTGATGTTAATCTTTCTCTCCTCCGTTCTC